AAAATTTTTGAGGACATAACCTAAAAGAAGATTTACTGATATATGTTGACTACAGACAGGACAACCCAACCTTACCCGACCCAGAGACTACCACCTATAGAGAAGACGACTCAACCGAACGTTAGCTGACCGACAGAAGTAGTATTACTGATGAGTAGTGAGACACAGGAAGCAGCATAAGCGAGAAGTTGACAGTACGTCACTTTTATCGAACTCCTAAGGAGTTACTATTTGCCAGCCTCACTTTATATCTGACTTTAAAATCTGACTTGAATCTGAATGACTTTAATTTTGACATCTGTGTAAAAATAAACCATGTTATTGAAAGTGATCAAGGTGTATATAGCAAATTAGTTAAAGTTTCTCAAAGTTTTGATACTACAAAGGCAGTCGTATCAAATAGAATCTATCGAAATAATATCGATAGAAATATATATCTCAACATATTGAACCCCGTCATCACTGAATGTTTAAAAGAATGTGTAAAATATTTCGAAAGGCGTCTAAATCGTTTGAGCAAAACATTCAACAAGTGAAATAACCGAGTTGCATTTCTTATTTCATTTCGCGAACGCAGTTCTCGTTGCGTGATCGCATTCCATTTTCTCGATTCTCGCCGCGATCGCTAAACGGTCGCTATTGTCGCGGCGCGATGAACACTTAATTTTCAAAAATTTGTAACTCGCGATCGCAACGCGACGATTTTATGCGGTCGCACTCAACTCGGCATAGTGGCTTGCGCTAAGATAATTGTTTTAAATAACTTTCAAAATCACCTCGCGATCGGGTTTTCCTCTTATAACTGGGATATGATACAGGGTCGCGACGCGATTCTTGTGCAAATCCTTTTCGCGATTTTTTGGTGTTTTAATGTTTGTTTGAACAATATCCCGATTTCTACTGTTTACACTGATATGAAGTATATGTGTAGTTTGTATCTGTAATTTGTTCGTTTTATTCTTGATAGAATAAATTAGTTTTTGCGCGAAATTTGTATGCATTGTTGTCTATTTTCCTGTAAGAATTATTTATTCAAACCATTTTTCAGGTCATAGAAAATCTTTAAAGTTTTCATCCTTCCAAAAAATTTCTCTTCAAAATTTCAGAAAATCGAATTCGATTGCATCCGAAATGCATTCATGCATTTTCTATAAAATATGCACTAAATAAATATCAGTCAGCTATAGACAATGTCAAAGCCACACTACACTCTCAGGAGAAATTAATTTTTAATTTATGGAAAATTAATCACAGAACCGTGAAGCATTTTCTAGTTTTTATACAATTTTTGAGCATTTCACAGTAACTAAAAAGTTCTAAAGTAACTAAATTTTGTAAAAAACTTAGCTGTCCTGCCGTTTGGCTTTAAACAAGGGCGGTGTAGTTTTATTTTATTCTCTTTGCTCATACAATCCTTAATTCTGATTCTTCTTTCTTATATGAGCACATAACATGCATAGAGAATAAGTTTTCTCTAACGACAAAGTAATAAAAAGGCACCATCCAGTAACAATGACAGCTGAAGATCTTGATATTTCGTCCAATTGTAGGCGTCTGGCAAAACAAAACGGTGAAAAGGATATGCACGAGAGTCGTGCCGCGACCCTGTATCATATCCCAATTATAAGAGGAAAACGCGATCGCGAGGTGATTTTGCAAGTTATTTAAAACAATTATCTTAGCGCAAGCCACTATGCCGAGTCGAGTGCGATCGCATAAAATCGTCGCGTCGCGATTACAAATTTTTGAAAATTAAGTGTTCATCGCGCCGCGACAATAGCGACCGTTCAGCGATCGCGGCGAGAATCGAGGAAATGGAATGCTATCGCGAAACGTGAACTGCGTTCGCGCCGCGATCAGACGTCAGTTGAGTAAAGTAGTCGATTTTCCTTCAAAATTACCACATAAACTACAACAACTTCCAGAATATTTAGTCTTAACAAGAGTGAGAAGACTACCTGGAATCTTTATTGTCACTCTTCATTTATCCTAACGTTCAAAATTGTGCGACAGCTTTACTTGCTGGTAAAATTGTATTTGATTGATTTCTATTTTAGAGAATACAAAAACGCTACACGGTTGGATGAAAAATCATAAGGGTTTAGCACAGCATGTTGTTCAGTTTTTCGAGCCAAAGAAAAACCCAAGCTTCTTTTACCTACGCTTTTTCGTGCCTGTTTTTATTAAAAGAGGGTACATGAGTTATGAACTAACTCAACTTCCTTCTTCATTTTCTAACTCAGTGGTACTTAGATCATTCGGTTACAAAATCTACTATTGGCATCTTTTAAAGAAACTCTTTCTTTCTATATTGATGATAAATCGACATCTGAGCAACCGACACTTGAGCGATATCGACATTTGAGCGACGCTGACGCTTCGGCGAAACCGACACGTGAGTCACTGAACATTTGAGTGTTGCCGACACTTAGAGGAAGATACTCCCACTTGATATTTTTGAATGCGGCATGTTGTTATTTAATAAAATCTTGTGTCGTAACTTACTCTCACACCGCCTATCCCCCGTCTCCTGACGCTGTATAGTCAGTATGAAGCAGAATACGACCAGAGACTAAGTATTGAGTATAATCTTAAAGTCTAATCTTCGCCCAATTACTAGCTTCAATCTAATATCAACTGCGCTTAAATGTTGACAGCGCTCAAATGTCGCGTTTGCTCATGTGTGGAGATCGTTCAAGCGTTGGCGCCCAAATATCGGCGGTCGGACGACTGCCGATGCATGGAAAAGGTAACGTTCAAAAACTCGAAAAACAAAGTTAGAATCGAGAAAACTTTGAAATTTCAAGTTTTAATCCGGTAAATAAAGATTAACTCTCGAAGCTCGTACCTATATCTGTGCGCTGCTGCTGCCACCGCCGCAGATGGATAATTAGGAGTTTTGACGCCGCCGCCGCCGAATGCGTCGAAATTTTGAGAGTTAATCAGATATGAATACACTGAACATAATATCCTTCTTAGCACAAAAAATGAAGCTATAGTTGCGAAACAGGGTAAAAAGGAATTCTGCAATTAAACTTATACCCTTATGTTTAAAAGAGCAGAAAAAGATCTTGTGGTAATACTAAAGATGTAAGAAAAAGAAAAGGTCTTTGAAGTCGTGAGTTTTATCAATTTTTCTTGTAAAAAAGGTAATGGAATGAAATGATTATTTTCATTTTTTGTGTGGACTAATACATTCTGAACTCAAGATCACCCTTTTGATTTGATGACATACTGCAGCGCTCGTTTGTAGCAGAGAAATTCTTAACGATAGATTATTTAGAAATGACAACGCCAATATTAATCAGGTAAATGTTGCACAGCTTCCTCTAAATGTTTTAGGACCGTCTCAAATATTTCTTGTTTGACTTCATTATCTCCCATATGTCCTTGATCAGACATGACTGTTTTTGCTTTTAATATTTTTGCTAATTCTTGTTGTTTCTTTGGTGCCATGAGTTTATCTTTTAATGAAATCTGCACTGTAATTGGCACATTTGAATCTCTTATTAGACGAGCACCATTATCTGTCAAGTAATGTGTTCCTACTACTGAGCATTGACATGCACATGCTTCTCGATCATGAAATGAAAACCATTGTTCATATTCATCGTTCCATAGACGAGCATAGAATTCACAGCTGGGTGTTCCAGGGGTAAAAGTCGAAGGAATCAAAACATCACGAACCATTCTTTCCTTGTTCGATTTGATGAGAAATGGCATCAACAATGACCATGTACCTAAAAAGCGCATGAGAATCTGTCAGGGCAACCGAAATCAAAACATGCTTGTTTTACCGTTTTACAGCGTTATAATTATTTAGAGAATGAAGAACACACATCTCAAAAAGTTCCTTTCTCTTGTATTTAGATCTTGTTTTGTCAAAAGAAGCTCTTTTCCATTTCGTTTTTGCTTTTGATCTTATACAGACCTGATCCCAGAAATGCCATTGGTTTTAAGTAACTTCCACGACTAGTAACAGCTAAGTACAACGACAATAATCGTTTTTCTGCTATCAATAACAAAGCTAATTCTTGTGCTACCATTCCGCCAAGTGATGCACCGTGAACATGAACCTTTGAAGTTGTACCCCAGACTTGATTAATTAATGAAAGAGCGTCTTGTGCTAACAAGCGTGGAGTTTGTTTCATTTTTTGGGAACATGGAACGCTACGACCCATACCGCGATGATCATAGGTCAAAACTTCAATAGAGGTTGAAAGAGTGTCAACGACAAACTGGGCTAGTTCATCGAAATGTTTTAAAGTGGCAAAAGCGCCCATAATCATAATCAGTTTCGTGGCAGCTGGAGTGGATGATGAACGAATTTCATAATAAAGTCTAACGTCAGTGGTCACAGAGACATATCCAGATTGATTTGGAGGAAAGGCTTTCGGTTTAATAGGACTATTGCTTGTTGTCAGTGTGTTGCTATTCATTGTGAGTGAATCTTCTTCATTTACTCCGTCCATTAATATAAAATCGGACTAAATTATCGACACAACGAAAGATCCTTTGTTCGGTTGAACAGATAGTTATTACCAGTTTGAAAGCAGATTTTTATTATTGTATGAAAATTGAACTATTACAAATGAGAAATTTGATGAGAAATATTTTTCTTTAAACTAAAGTAATAATAGGCCTGTAGCAACAAATGTAAATGTTAAAACTTTGGTCAAAAAAGAGACATTTTACGTTTAAAATGTTTCTTTTATCAGCTGCGCCAGAACTGAAAAGAACGATACATAAAGGACGCACGCTGTCTTTTTCCTTTTTTTTCTTTCCCTTCTGTGTATATTCTGTGCGCTGAAGAACACTTCTGATATACATGCAGCCAAGAATCTTTTTTCCTTCGCTTTCTTGTCTGCTAAACAGGAGAAATGAACAGCAATGAATGAATTCTGCTGCTTTTTTACTACATCTCTGAATAGTTCATTTATTAATTGATCAAAAGTAACACAGCCAGACAAACAGATACAAGTAAGAGTAAATCTCTTTTTTAAACGTTTTAACGTTAAAAAAAACGTAGAAATAAGACCAAGAGCGGTGTTCCACCACTATTCTCCTGTGTTTCTTCTCACCTCTCTCTATCAAAACAAATTGAAAAAGTGTTCTACCTGTCGTTAATGAGAACCAGAAGAAAAAAATAAACACACACAAGTCAAGAAATGTACAAACTTTGTAGTATTTCAACGAAAGAAAAAGACTTATAAGAATTATCCCTAAATGAAAAACAAAACACTTTTGCTGTCTTGATTACAGCTGCTGCACCATACGTAAGAACTAACGTATATGAAAAACAAGCTATCACAAAAAATATATGCATCTCTGGCTAGAAATAGTTCAAAAAAATATATCTAAAGCAGTAAAATCTCTTACTTATTTGTTCAACCTCTTGCTCGTCCTTTTCAACTAAATAAAACTGTTCCTCGTTCAACTCAGACGCTAAAGGGCACGATATAACAATCAAAATCTAAGAGAAAAATGAATGAAAGACAAATGTACACACTTTTAAACCTGCACTATCGTTAAATATAAACTGAATCATTCATAAGCAAGCAAAAACTAACTTTCTCTTGATTAGGAATATACGAAAACGAGAAAAAAAAGAAAGTAAAAGAACTCACTCAATCTTCAGTTAAATCAAATTCTGGAATTATTTTTTCTGCCGTGGTTACCACATTCTCAATTCTTGTTAGTAATTTATTGACTCTATCACTTGGTGATGATTTTCGTCGTTTAACAGTCGATTCGAAATTTTCATCCAAGATATCGCCGTCATCAGTTTTTACTCGTTTAAGGTCATTCAATGTCAATGGTCGTTTGTGAGTTTGTTGTGTCGCTAAAGTTGTTGTAGCTGTATTTCCATAAAGTTTTCTAATATCTTTAAATGATTTTGAAACCATAGTACTTTGATTAGAGGACGAAAGTGTTGCTGTTGTTGTGTGCGAATTTGCACGTTTTGAATAAGAAGGTGACGCCGGAGAAAGAATTAACAATTTCTGAATAATTTTCTGTAGATTTAGTGGTGCAGATGACGTTAAACCATTTGTAATAGAAAGAAATAACGTTAGAAGTTTTTCCTGGGTTGCAGTAGGTAAACTAAATAGTTTTTCTAATAATTCCGATAATTTTTCATTGGTATTAGGATGATATTCTGTTGATGACGAGGGCTGAGGAGTAGTTACATCTTTATTTTGATCAATAATAATAAGATCATCGAAAAACTGTGGTTTTTGATCGACCAGAAAAGATGGATATGAAATAGTTTGATTTGTTGTTACTGCTGTCGTAGAATTGTTGGCTGAAGGGGTGAGATGAACGGGTGAATTATTAATTGTAGTCGGTGTGTTTGTAGTTATTTTTTGATCAGAGAAGTCCGATGGATCAGTTATTGAATAAACTGAAAGCAAATCGTTCAATACTGAATTACTTTCCGCCTAAATGGACGGAAAAAAGACAAATAAACTTCTCACATTTGACGATGAAGTACCGTTCGTGTTGTGAAAGAGAGAAACTCAAGTTAAGCCTTATGACGGTAGATCGTGTGAGACCCCCCAAAAAAGGTAGCACAGCTAAGTACACTACGATGAATTTTTTCTGTGAAGTGAAAAATCTTTCAAACTTACATTATGGACACTAGGCTTAAATCACGATCTTACTTGATAATCTTCATCAAACAAATGTTGCGACTGAGTCGGTTGAAATGTTGATGATGATTGCGTGAATGTTTGTTGCTCTTGTGTTTGTTCATCTAAATTGTCATTTGAAAATTCATCAGCAACTAGAACAGTGGGCTGTGGCATAAAATTTAGTGGGTCCTTGACTCTTACTAGTGCTGCTCTATAATTAAAAAAAGAAAAAAGAAACTTAAGTTTACCTGGTAAAGAAATAAAACCTCAGTCTCTCACAGTTTTCCAGCCGCCTGTAACGTTGCATTAATACGACGACCTTGACTGGCTTTGTTTGGTAATGAACGATAAAGTGTGGTCATTTCACCATAACCGACAGATAATATATTTTCGACAACTAGACTAGGTTTTTTTAATTCATTGTACAGACGTGGAACTATCTCGATTTCGGACTCAGTTATAGGTTTATATGGTCTTTTTTTTGGTTTAGAAATAGTGTTAGGTGTCAACGTCGTCATTTTTAATTTGAAAACAAATAGTTGGAAACAAAAAATGACGACAAAGGCAAGTGTTTATATACACTAGAGCTGCGAAAAATAGTGTTTCTTTTCTTTTTTCTTTTCCATTTTGTTTTCTTATTAGCGTATCTTTAGCTTTTCTTGATGTCGTATGCAGAATTCTTATGTCTGACATACAGATATCTGCATGCGACATCAAGAAAAAGTTAAAGATACGCTAAATGGTAGAACTGTATTAGTCTGTGTACAGCACGCATATATAAGTTCTATCAACATTGCTTTTTGGTATATACAGAAAGAAAGAAAAAGATGACGCTCATATCTGTATGTGTGTCATAAGTAGTAAAGTTTACAGTAAAATGGATGGTCACCTGCCTGATCTTACTCAAATTCGAATAACACTGACTACCTACGTTTCTTTACAAAAAAAGTGGCTGATGTGAAAATATAAACTTACCTGTGCATCATAAGATAAAAAAACACGTTTTCTTCAGCTCTTTAGAGAAATAAAACTCTATAATGAATAGTCACATGTTGGATAGAACGAAAAAGAATGACGTAATGATTTGGTCGCATCTCTACCTCACTGTGAATGTATCCTATATGCTACTCACTTCGCGAATTAAAATTAAATTAACTAGAGAGGACGCATTTTCATTTTTTATGCTAATTGAAGAACATGAGGCGTACTATATATCGATCTTTTTGAGATATAGGGGTGTCCATATCACAGCTTAAAGTCGGTAAAACAAGCTTTTCTGCTTTCATTTCAAGAATTCTGATCGATTTTAAACGACTACAATAACTTTCAGGCTGACTTTTCCAGTGATAGTAGCCGGAGGGTCCATCGTCAAAATTTACTTTGCTTCGGTATTGTCCAAAATCTTATCAAATGAACATCAATGAAATAAAACTTGCTGTTTAATGTAATCATATATGTCTGTTGTTCTAATGACTTATTGATACTCTAACTCGATTGGTTTTGTAAGCTCTCCTGATTAAGAAACAGAACTTTGAACAGTTTATCTCTAATCCGATAGTCACAGATGAATAAGACAGATTGTGTGAATTGTACAGATAGCGTTATGAGTATAAAAGCAGATGTAAGAGTAGTGTCACAATTACAACTAAATTTTCTGTTCTGAAAAACATTGACAATGAAGTTCGAAATGGAATAAACTTTCATTTATATGGTATAAATACTTATCATGCATCACTCATTGTTCATCATTCCATATTCACTTACAAGAACTAGCGACTCTAACATTGCTTATTAGCTCTGGCTCTGTTTCATTAGTCCAAGCTAAACCATATTTCATTTGTAGACAAAGTGTCCCTTGAAACGGTATTGTAGGATAGAGTTCGTAGCACTGTGGGTCAAGCAGAAATGTAAATATCTATATATCTAAAGGGGGTGCTGTTTTCTACGTTGAAGAGAAATGGAATCTACTATAATGAAAATGCCAAACGTGCAGCTAGCGATGCCATAACCTTCAAAACATTTTTATGTTTTTTCCATATTTGAGAAACAACTAATACATCCTGATATCCTTTTTTGTTTTTGGACATAACTGATCTTTACACTATGATATCTCAAGGTGGTGCCATAGTGGATATATGAAGCATGTTGGAACGAACAAGAATAAAGGTTAGTGAAAACAACTGCGTTTTTGAAAGTTTCGTGACAAAATATATGCAAAACCAAAAAGAAATCACATCCGAATAGTGATATCCGTACAAATGTAAAAGACGAGGAGCCCACGTTTTTTTCACATATGTGCGGCCCTGTGCTCTACAATACCTCATAATATCGCTGGGTTTGGTTGCACAGCTTCGATTTTATTAAAGAAATATAGACCGTGGCGGAATCACGGAAAATGGACGAGCTCTTTTAACTGTGTCCAAAGATGTAAAAAATTCTGCGAAACTGAGTGACCTACGAGAAAATGTTTGCTAGGAAACTTGTAGCAGATCCTGCGAGCAATTTGAGGAAAAAAGAAAAATTTAATAAAGGTCGAGTGCGCGTGTCCAGTGAGAAAAGAGTGTCGTGGCGGAATCACGTTTCATGAAATGACCATGTTTTTTTCAATTTTTTATTTGTTCGTGAAGTGAATAATGTCTTAATCAAAATATGTGATGAGTATTTTCATTGCCTTTAGAATTGTTTAGACCGCATTTGAAAAACAGATCTCCGACTCGTACTTTGAATTTTTGAATTAAAATTAAAAAAAGCTTAGATTTCATTTTTTCCTAATTCATAAATAGACAGATCTAGGAACATGCTAAAATTTATACCAGTCGATAGCGCTTGAAAAATTGAATAAACGTAGGCGGTTGACAAAGTTTTAGCAAAAACTCTGGAACATCTCTAGGAGGACTCGAGAAAACCTTCAAATACCTCAGTTTGATGCAACTTTCTTGAGACCACCAAAAGATAGCCCGTTCAATTCTGAGCTGAGTGAGGCTTTCCGCAGCTCTTCGTGACATTTCCTTGCTGAGACAGGCGGCTTTTATGAGAAGTCTGTCCAGAAAAGGTGTCTCAAGTCAGTCTGCTGCAAGACATTTAGTAAAAGCCGCTTGTCTCAGCAAGGACATATCACGGAGAGCTGCCGAACGCCTCACTCAGCTCAGAATTGAACTGGCTATCTTTTGGTGGTCTCAAAAAAGTTCCATCAAACTGAGGTATTTGAAGGTTTTCACGAGTCCTCCTCCAGAGTTTTTGATGAAACTTTGGCAAGCGCCTAAGTTTGTTCAATTTTTCAAGCGCTATCGACTGATATAAATGTGGGATCGTCGTCTTTTAAAATGACCGAGAAAAATCAAATTTAAAATGAAAAAATGTGATTCCGCCACGATTGGACAGGTCCAGTAGTTATCTGAACCATAAATCACAGCGGGAGTCGGGAACGAGTAAGAAAAGACGAGATTTGTTGTGCAGAAAACGCTGGAGATACAACTTAAACTGTATCTAGTCAATTCAGAACAACTTAAAAAGACGAAAAACGGGAAAAAAAGAAGTTCGTTTTTTCGTAAAAACAAACTTGGTCAACCCTGTGTGATTCCGCCACGCTGTTTTATTTTAACAAAAGATATTTGAGTCAAAACAAATTAGTGGACTAGATATATAGCGCAAAAAACTCTTTCTAGAAAGGTAACTTGATCTTCCTCAAAGATCACAAGTGCGACAAAAATAAAACTGCGGAGAAATTTCGTGGCGGAATCACGTGTTCAAAATACCACGTTTACAAATTAATCACAGATCACAGAAATTAATTTCTGTTACGTGAAAAATAAGTTTACTTGTTCTACTTTCGACCCGAGCCGCAAATGGAAAGAACAAACAACTAACTTTCGCCCCGAATAAAAATGGAAAAACTCATGAGTGTGCTGTTCGTTTACGGCTCAGGGCACCATCTGTTTAGAAGTCTTTTTCTCTAAAAAAACGAACGCAAAATGAAGATAAAAAAATGCATTTTTATATGTTATTCACTATGCTCTACAACATAGCAGTGTTCCTTTTAGCCGAATTTGCACTTCGATTTTGACATAAAAGTCTATCGATACGTGGACTGGCCGGGATATGGACGCTGAATAAGGTTTTATATCTGTCTCTTTCTTTTGTTGTTGTTCTCGCTACTTAAGTCCGCTTTTAATATAGTTTGTCTAGTGTATTCGAAAAACGTTTATATGCTCATGATTTTGAATCAATAAACTTTAGTAATGTAATAACCTGAGTTGAGTCAACGGTCATATACAAAAGAGCTGAGCGTGTTTGTGTACAAGGTGCTAAAAAAGTCGATCTACCAAAAAGGAATCGATTCTCGTATAATAAGTATACATTCTTTTAGCTTTTAATGAAGAAATGACTACTTTAAAGTGGCCGAACAGGTATAACGAAAACCAGATGAAGGAACATTTTTGTGAAAATATTAAGTATAATACTGCCAAAAATAACATAATTAATTTTAAACAAAAATAACTGTTTATTTGTAAAATCGAGCTTTCGACAAGATATACTTATCATCAGGAAAGAATAATTGAAGTACAGAAAAACTTTTTCCGAGGCTTCATGATTGAGACCACTTTTTTTTATGTAGACCAGAGGACTAGCCAACCAGCCGATCAGAGGACCAGCCGACCAGTCAACCAGCCGACCAGCGAACCAGCCAACCAGAGGACCAGTCGACTACGAAACTAGCCCGCCAGACGACCAGACTGTTTTAGTGCAACTTTACTTGCAGACGACCACACCACCGGAGCACCGGAAAACGCAGAATTTCAGAAATATTTTTTCGGATAAATTGAACTTTTTGAAAGTGATAATCCTGCAACTTCTCTTGATATTACTGTTACCGTGCCAGCAACTCAATATTTTTGTCAAGTAATAAGTATTCAACAAGCTTCTCTCTTGGAAGTTTGTGAAGGATATACTCGTACACTACGGAAAGATGAACGTTTTTTGAATCCGTTATTACAAACGATTGATGATAATAAACAAGGGAGAAGTAAGCGTAACGTGCTTCTTGCCGGAGCAAGTATTGTGGGTTCACTTATTGCTAATATGTTAGGGGTATCAAATAATGCATTGATTAATCAACTATCCAACAGAATTTCCGAATTTGAAAAGATGGTTAGACGGGATGAATTACTGCTACACCAACAGCAGACTACAATACTTGAGATGCAGTCCGATTCAATAAAGATTGCTGAAAAGCTGAACACTGTTGCAACAAATTTGAATGCTCTTGGAAATGTTTTAGAAAAGCGCTTAAAGACGTAAGTAATCTTCGTTCAAAAGTTAATGATATAACAGTTCATGCGCTGCAGCGCGATATGCAAAATGTATATACCTCTGTTAGAATGTCTATGGAAGATATTGCAAGTAATAAATAAACATGTGATGTTCATAATAATAGTATTTTGTTTATGCTTGTTATTAGTTCTTTAATAGTTTATGTTATTTTTTCTATAGGTTGGGTTAGAGTTAGGTCTTATAGAGT